TAGTGGAAAAGATTCATCAACGGATGAAGATGGCCCAAAGTCGACAAAAAAGCTATGCGATCGGAGGAGAAGGGAGCTGGAGTTTGCAATCGGTGACTATGTTTTCTTAAGGGTTTCACCGATGAAAAGCATACTATAATTTGGGAAGAAAGGAAAAGCCGAGTCCACGATATATTGGATCGTTTGAAATACTAGACCGTATAGACGATAAGGCATACCGTCTATTGCTACCGTCAACCTTATTGGGAGTACATGATGCCTTTCACGTGTCTATATTAAGAAAATGCATTGGAGAGCCTAGTCGGGTTCTTGAGGCGGTGCCACCAAACTTGACGCTGGACTTAACATATAAGGGAATTCTAATCCAGATTCTCAACCAGACGACTTAAACACTTAAGGAATAAAGAAATTGCCTTAGTTAAAATTTTATGGGAGAATTATAAACTCGAAGAAATGACACTGGAAACTAGAAGAGGAAATGAAAAAGAAATACCCAAAGTTATTTGTATAAACCAAATTTCGAGGACGAAATTTCTTTTAAAGAGGGGAGACATGTAACTCCCGTGAACTTACTTAACGTAGCTATACATACGAAAATAATTTTATCTACAACTACTAAGTTGAAATTATAATTTTTGTGTCATGTTGTGTTTGGTGGGTTTAAGATGCTTGGGTAAAAAAAAAATTATTATTTTCGGTGTTTCGAAATTTAATTCCCGAGCCCAAATATCTTTTGAAATATTCATAATTATGTAAGCATAAATTATGTGTCATTTGTTTTTATATTTGCGGTGTGAAAATAGTTAAGGTTTATGGAAGTGTTTATAAGAATATCCTTTTTTGAGAAATTAATTAGTCAATATTTATTTTTTCATAATGTGTATTTAAAATGACCATGCAAGTGAAAAATATATCTCATTTAAGAGGTATGGTCGAAATTTTAGATCTAGGTAAGGTTAGGAAGTTGGTTAATTTTAATCACCTTTTAATTTTTTCATTTAGTTAGTGATGTGACATAAAATATTCCACCATACTTCTAATTGTACTTTCCTACTTAATTTTGGAAGGTTAAACACTTCAACTAGCCTCTCTTTTGTCTCCATCAATTGACCTCTCTTACCATAAAAATTGGATACTTGGCATATTAAATATGAAAGAAATAATGGTTTAAAAAATGTGATATAAAAAAAATAGAAGGAAAGCTTAAGACTTGCCATCTTTTTTTGTCAAAAATGTATCTTACAAAGAAATGAGAGAGAGTGATGGTTTTGTGAGGGAAGAAAGGGAAGAAAGAAAGGAGAAAGAGAAAGGAAAGAAAGGAAGGAGAAAGGGAAGAAAAAGGCTAAGAAATCTTAACCAAACACACATCATTGTAAGTAGGTTTCATTTAGCATTATTTATGCCTTAAAATTTAAATGTTCTTGTTCATTTATGAGTTTGTTTAAGCTATGTAATATGTGGTTATGGTAGTTTTTGTTGATGTTAAAAGTTTGATGTTTGGTGATGAATGTATGATGTTTTGATGATGGATTTATTTTGGAGGTACCACATGCTGAAAAATTTTTAGTTTTGAACTTTATGTGATTTATTTCGAGATCTTAGAGTGGTTTACGGCAAACCTCAAAGAATGAAAGTTGTTTATCTTTATGTCTACTAGCTCTCTATAACATTTTGGGATTTTTAGATTTATATATAAAGAGTTATGACTAATTTGGTACGGATCATTTGGATGTACCACATGCTGAAAAATTTTTTAGTTTCGAACTTTACGTGATTTGTTTAGGAATCGTAGAGTGATTTTTAGGAAAATCTCAAAGAAAAAAAGTTGTTCATCTATATTTCTACTAGATCTCCGTAAAAGTTTATAATATATATATATATAAGGAGTTATAACCAATTTGGTATAGGTTGTTTAGATGTACTATTGCTGAAAACTTTTTAGGGACTTAAACTTGATTAGTTAAGATGTTTAGTTAGAATAAATATTTAATTATAAACCTAAGCCACCCTAATATAACCATATGGGTTTGGGCTTAAAATAAAGTGAACTAGAAATAAAACACATGGACTTGGACTAAAACAAAGTGGACTTAAACTAAAATAAAAAGAGGTTTGGATTACAATCAATGGACTTGAGTTAAAATAAAAATGGGCTTGGATTAAAATAAATGGGCTTTGACAAAAACAAAATGAGTTTGGATGAAAAATAAATAGAATTGGATATCCTAAGAACACTTAGTGGACCTTGGAACTAAAATAGTTAAGTTGGATCATACTATGAAAATATTGATAAAGACCAAGTGCGGATTGAATTTCTAAAATGGTATGGATATAAATAGTTTGGGGCCTATGAGATATGAAATATGGTTCATGATATATGAAATGGATTAACCCTATTAGACGGGTTTTGAATTCCTTGTGAGAACTCAATGGTACGGAATCGACGGGTTTGGTACTCATGACTTGATGAAATGTGGTTCATGATACATCACATGCATCATACGCATATGAGATGAATTAAATTGAGAAAAATCATTGAGTAAAAAATGATGAGGTTTGGTAATCGAATCGAATAGAAATTGGATAGGTTTGGTAACCTACTAGATAAAAGGGGTATTAGCGAGTCCAGCTACTGTGCGTACTCTAAGCTGTGTGCTTGCACTATTAGACGATGGATTCCTGCTAACGAGTGGCTACAACGAGGGATAATTCCGTTATAGCGAGAAGGTGAGCTGCGATTCACCTAGATTACATATAGAGTAGACTTGCTAATACCCAAGGTACTCGAAAATAAAATTTGATGAGTCGAAGTGGGGAAAGTCGAGAAAATCATTGCATATCACGTGCATCACCCTACTTGCCGAGCTTCGGCTCACTCTATGTTTATTTCATGCCTTGACGAGTAAAGGTGATAATAATGTTGATAATGAAGGCTGTCGGTTCCTCCTAGAAAAAGGCTTATGTGTGACGCGAAAAAAAATTATAGGATCTACCTTTGTTTGTAAATTACATTTTGTAATTTTTGAAATGATATTCGGTATATTGGGTATGTGTATGGGATTAAATTTGTGACTTCGGTCTCTAAGCCGTGGTGCATCCAGTCACGCCTTTTAGGTAATCGGCAAAGGAGTTAGGGGCACCGCACTAATGCACATAAATGATATCATTAAATGTCCCAAGTTGTAACATTGTCAAGAATGAACATTGATTGTATGTGATTAGACTTGTGAGTGCTATGCTTATGCGATATGTTAGCAATAGGAGATCTCACACCTATTGACATAATGATGCCAAAACAAGCACTTAGGTGATTTATGTTAGAGAACATATCATTAGACTTAACTTGCCATGAAAACCCGTTTGGTTTAATCTATGAGAACCTCATACGAGATGGGCACAAATGGTCCTTAGACTTGAAGTTATCACGGTTATCTCATTAGAAGATTTATGCATTTTGACACTCGTTTCGATGAACCTAATAAACGGTTGCAAGTGAGCGATTCGTTGAGTTCACTAGGAATTTAATGGATGTAGGTGTATGACTAAGATAAGACATGTCATTCCTTGTATGTTAAAGGAGTTATCACATTACACTTCGATGAATGCTAGCCATAAATGTTACATTTAACGAAGCCGTGAACTATAGAGTTTGCCAAATCATGTACTATAAGTCTAAGTTTAAAGTTTGAAGGCTAAACCAATGCTAAGTTTTGATCACTTTTGAGAATTGCCTAGATTTGACCATTTTGATTTGTATAGGTTGATGTTTGGTCATTTGGATATACATATATAAGATTAAAGGATAATGAAATATTTATATCAATTTTTGGATATGTTGATAAGTTAATTTAATTTTGATGCGTTGAGGTTTATTGAATGGATTTAGGTTCGATTTATGCATATGTTGACTTAAATCCCGTAATGAAAAATGAAATGGTATATGATGTTATAAACGGTTTAAGTATAGGTTACGAAAAAATTGCTAGCCATAAATATTATAGTTAAAGAAGCCGTGAACTTTAAACCAAATAAGGACTTCTATTATGCAATGTGATTGAGATCTATGAGAGAGGACACGGTGCATTGACTTGCACTCTCGGATATGAGACAATGCGGTAACACTCTCGATTCTCTCGTTAGACTATGAATGTTACAAACAAAACCCCTTAGTTTTTAAAGATAACATAATTGATTGACCGATCTTTAGGATTCGACGTGAACGACTTATCTTTATTACAAATTTTGGTAAGAGCATTAAATTAAGTTTGGTGCACTCAACACACACCAATTATGAAATAATTAATTAAGTTATTGAGTTGTTATATAAGTTATTACCATACAATCGACAAAGTATTTAATAGTATGTAATGTAACTGTAATTATAATGCTTTCAAATAATATAATCGAAGGTGAATGTTGTGAATCTTTCCTTGTTTGAACCTTCTCTTTTAGACGAAAGAGAGGATGCCATTCTACTGATTTGATGCTTGATAAGAACACAAGAAAGATTAGGAATAGAGAGTAAGAATTCTTCTAGGCATGTCAAAATGGTCGATTTCTTAACCGTGTCAAATGGTATTCAAAGAAGCAAGTATTAGAGAAATTTTCTCATTTGTCGAAGCCAACTTTTGAGAGCAAAAGCATTTTTTTAGGGCTCTTTTTACGTGGGAAAAATAAAACACACAAATATGTCTCTCTAATTCTTTGTCTGGAGCTAAAAGAGTAAAGGGAAACACAAATACAGAAACATTGAAAATCCAAAAAGAAGAATGGATAGCAAGTCCTGGGATTATGAGATATTTGTATCAGAAGATGGTCCTGACAGGGATTCAAGTTTATAATTTTTTTTCAATCATTGGAGTATTTTACCGATGATTTGATGTGAATATTTCTCTACCATGAAGTTTTATCACATTTAAAAAGATAATTATCTCTGTTTTATTTTTTAAATGTACTCCAGCAATTTAAAGTTACAAAAAGCCTGGCCCCACAATCGCTAATCAGTCCCCTATTTTAGTAGGTCATGAGTTGTATCTGTTTGCTATTGTTTTTATTTAATCATCCATTCAAAATTAATTTCTTAGTAAAAAAATTGTTACGCTTTAAGAAATTATTTGAGTGAACTTACAATTAATGAATGTGGCCATCCAAATAGCTAGGTATTTATTTAGTGAAATATTGCAAGAATTAACAGTGTTATTTTTGTTTTGATGTAACATATATATATATATATATATGAAATAATGCAATCATGAGTATTTATGAAAGACTGTTATAGGAAAAAGAAATAACAATATGAGTCGAGTAGCTAGCACATCTCTTGACATGATGGTAGTTAGTAGCAATTATAGTGGTTGGAAAAGTCATCATGACCTTAATTAGAAATCAAATGTTGTGTCATAGAGCCTAAACATCAAGAGACATTGTATCATAATTTATAATTAGGCAATGGTAACTTCACAAATTAAATAACCAAGATTGAGTATCATATGCTATGATTGTTCTTAGGTACCTTTTCGATGATTATACTGCATCATCTAGTATATGCCCATAGTAGTAAATCCAACAAGAATAACATTGACATTTTCGATCTTTACGTTAATTTGATAAATTATAACAGTTACAGCAGTACTTACTCATGCTTAATTTGTTTTTGAATATTCATCGAATAATTAAAAACTATCAAAGGGCCAACTTCACGTTAGCAATTAATATCCTCCTCACCCTAAGCATTAGAGTAATCCACGTTCAAGCTGGATAATCGGTCAAAAAATCAGTCAATACTTCGATTTTTTTAAACCGGTCATTGTTATTTTGGGCAACCTTACCTTCTGTATATATATCACTGACTCAATTCTCACCATCTCAGACTTTACGTATACCGCAGTACCATGTTGAATTCCAATTATTTTAAAAGATTAAAAAAAAAAAAGTTACCAATGAGTTTCTATTCGTAACAAATCTAGGTACCATCACCCAAAGAGAAACATACAAATAAATGATTTGCAAATTATCTGAACAATCATAAGCGAAACAGTTTTCTTCGGTAGAGTTTGTTTTCCTAATATTTTTTAATATGTTTTTCCAAAATAAGATATTTTAAATCTTATTTATAAAAAATGAATAGTTTTACCATATAGGCATCTATATCATCTTTTTAATTAAGTGTTATAATACATATTTAATATAATAATTTAAAAAAATAAAAACATAAAAGAAAAAATTATCTTTCGCTCTCTGTTTTTTTTTATTATTATTATCTTTGCCCTAATTTCTTCAAAATTCAAATATTTCAACAAATCAAAGCCACAATTATTAGAAAAGTTCTTTAGCATATGTATATTGTCAATTAAGATATTTTTCTAAATTCTCTTATTTTTATTTATTTAATTTTGATAAAAAAAATTTTTTTCAATCCAAAAGACAGATAAAATTGGTTCCAAGACTAGAACTTTTTAGCTTGGAATAGTACAAAATGGCTTCAAAGGGCAAGTTATTACAAATGAAGCCAATCATGATGGAGTCACAAACGACAATTGTTGGGCGAGCAAGTGTGTCAAACAGTTGGCATACGAGATGGAGTTGCCTTTCTTGACAAAGTTTGCTTAAGCGAGAGCGAATTGATGGGGTTTTAAGAGATGGGCTGGATGGTGGTGAGATTTTAAAGATGGAAGCTTTTTGGATTTTATTGGATGGCTCATGGGAAGGTGTGGAGGGAGGGATTGGAAGTGACGATGAAGAAGTGGAGGCCATGGCCGTGCATTTGTGTTTGGTTGTGATGGTGTTAGTTTTTTGTTTTGTAGTTGAATAATTACCAATTAGGAGATTTTCATCTTTCAAGGGTTATGATGTCGCGTTGCATTAGGAGAGAAAAACAATACCTCTGGTTTTCGTATTTACTGCTTGTTTGTGGTTGTATTTGAAGTGCTACATATTAATAGAAGGGATGATTGAGCAAATAAGAAAATTAATGATATAGATAAAAAAAATTAGAGAGAGATAAGAAAAGAAGAAGAAGAAGAACAGACTAATATACAAGAAAAAATAGCAAAAAAGAGAAGATTAACATTTGAAGATAAAACATTTATCTAAAGAAATAATTTAAAAAAAACCTGGCATGTCAAGTTATATAAATGAGATGGTTCTTATGTGGCATAAAATACTTTATTTTGATAAATAAGTTTAAAACTATGATATTATGGTAACTAAGATTTAAAAGTGCCTTATTAAATAAAAAAAAAACTCTCTTCTCTACATCCACACCAACAACAACTGAAGTAGTTCCATGATCAGAAAGGATAACTGAAGTGCACACCTTTAATTAATATTAGAGAAACGTAACTAACAATCAACACATCTTCCAAATTGTGGTCTTGGAGTGTGACGATTGTTGGCCCCAGATCCAGGATAATCGTTGAGTTGTACGATCTTTCTTCCATCAGTCATATGCTCATCCTCTCGATCTTTAACCTGCCAGTGGATTAATATTTATGAACAAAATGGACTTGACAATTTTAGGATTGTAAAATCAAGCATCAAGGAATTAAATCTTATAATATATTTTGTTATTAGCTAATTTTTTATTTTTAGTACCATCTGGGTGCCCTCAAGAATCGGAAGAACTTGATCATAGCCATGCACTAGCCCTCCAATTCCTGGAGACATAAAATAATACATGAAAACTGAGTTAAGAAAGTATCAATTCTAATGGTTTAAAAAAAAACAGTGAAATTAAAATGGTAAGAGAGGTATTCAAGACATACTTCTTATTGGGATTGAATTGCTCCAATAACTAAGGTTAGAGATCAATAAAAAGTTTACTAGTAACCGAAAGAGTATTCCTGCCATTGCTGGAACAAGCTTCCTTATTGGCAATTTCTTCGAGTCTAATGCTTCTGATAAAAAAGGAAGTACTTAAATTATGCGTATATATCATAGATTCTTCTGCAGGTTTGTGATGCTGGCCAAAAATAAAAAATAAAAAATACATAGACTTGCCAAAGTCAAAAAGGTGACAAGAACACAACACATTTGTTGGGGTGGGGGGTTGCTCATTTTTAAGTTCAACCATAGGATCATATGGAAGCGAAATTTTTTATGTGTATGCATATATATATATATATATATCGATATCGGTTAAGGTGTGGATGTAATGAAAAATATAAATACATCAAATAACATAGTGGGTGAAGATGGAGCACACTAAATGCAAGTGGACGATGACAAAAGAATGTTAGTGTGGCAATTTATAGATCTTACCCTAATCTAGTGGAAATTATATATTATTTATTAGAGCCAAAAGATGTTCAATGCAAAGATCTACTTCACTTTTTCTTTTTTGGGTTTTGAACGGCTTATATCCATAGAAAGTGACAAATTCACATTTATGTATCTTTTCGTGAGTGTGCCAATAAAATGGGCAACTGAAAAGAGGTAGAACGAGCTAGGAGATATGCTATTTGATCACCAAAATAAGAAGTCCTGTCTGTAGCTGCAAATCAACAGTGTTTCTTTTCTTTATGTTCTTTTTTACATGGGTGGAGCACAACCCAACCCATCGCATGTTTGATATCTCCAATGCTTTTCTTAATGGTCATTTACAAGAGGAGGTTTACATGAATCAACCATTGAGATTTGTTAGCAAGGACCATCAACAACATGTATGCAAACTGCACAAGGCTCTTTATGGCCCCAAACAGGCTTCTAGAGCTTGGTTAAATACGATATCTACTTTTCTATCATCTCAGGGCTTCAAGAAATCACAGACAGACTCATCATTATTCATTTTTCAAGGAGGCATGCATTGAATCTATATGTTGACGACTGGGTTCTTACAAGAACTAATTCAAACTCTCATTGAGTATAATATCTCATCTCTTATTAAGGAGTTTGCCTTGCAAGATCTAGGGAAATTGCACGACTTTCTTGGCGTGGAAGTATCTTAACTCATCCAAAGATACTCACCTTTCTCAAAGTAAATATCTCACTGATTTACTTAAAAAAAATTAAATATGCAAGAGTGTAAATCTATGCACACACCTATGGCAACGCGACCTACACTTTCAAAGAATTTTGTAAGTGCTCCAACTGATATACATTAGCAAATTGTTAAGCGAGTTATCCGATATGTGCAAGGCACTATTCTCCATAGAATACAGCCAACAAATCTTATACCTCCACCTTGGTATCTTTCACAGATGTCGACTAGACTGGTTGCCCCGATGGCCGAAAGTCTACGGTGGGTTTGCCTTTTTTTTTTTTTTTTTTTTTTTAAGGCAAGAACCTAATCAGTTGGTCAATGAAGATTATTAAATAACTAGCAAACCATTGCACAATCGCAGAGAGTCAGAATATCATGCCCTTGCAAATGCAATTATTAAACTAATTTGGTTACAGTGTCTCCTAAAGGAATTATGGTTTCACCTTCAACAACCTCCCAATATTATAGTGTGACAATCTTGATGCCACCTTTCTATCAACCAATCTTGTTTTCTATGTACGAATAAAGCTCATTGAAGTTTGCCGCTAGGAGGGCGCAATATCGGGGGTTTGTCTGGTGAGTCACTATGGTTCGATTGGGTAATAAATAAATAAATAATTGCCACCTAGGATAAAGGAAGCAGTGATGTATGCTAAATACATGAAATTTGATTTTATTCTTTTCTTACTGATTTTCGCAGCAATGAAACATCCAAATCTAACCTTAGAGGCTGAATGATCAACTTAGTTTATTTAAATTAAAAAGGAGAATTTTTTTTATATGAAAAATCAAAATCATAAGTGATTCAGAATTCAAAAAGGAAAAATCAATCAAGAAAAACTTCAGTTCAATGACAAATTCAAATATTCAATTTACAAATTAATCATAAATACCTAAATTACTATTCTTTCATTGAATATTAAGCCTAGATTTACCTAGACCCTAAAATAAATCTTAATATTCCCTATATTCATTAATTCGAAGGATCCCTTATGAATTAATTTCTTATTATTGATTGATTTTGGAATTAAACAATTCTAGCTCGAAATAGGAAGAGAACTAAGACTAAACAACAATCTAGGATCCCTAAAATCATTTAATTCATCCTTTTATTTTTCTTAGGTAATCACGAAAACTAAAATAATCATGAAAACCTAATTTGCAATAGGAAGAGAACTAAGACCGAACAACAATCTAGGATCCCTAAAATCATTTAATTCATCCTTTTATTTTTCTTAGGTAATCACGAAAACTAAGATAATCATGAAAACCTAATTTGTAACTTGTGCTAACTTTTCATAATAATTACAAATTAATAAAGTTAGTTAGCTATCAATCACAATAGACAATCAACTAATTAGCTACTTAGATAATTATATATGCAATCATAATTAATTAAATTCAATAATCAATTAATTAAGTTCAAAGAAATTAAAGATACTCAAATCATCAAGAATAATTTTAAAGATCAAACTTGTGTCTCACATTTTTTTTTTTTTTTTTTTTTGCAAATTGAAGTTGAAATCTCTTGAACTGAATTAAAAAAAAAAACTTAGCCGAGTTATTCGAAGTATAAACTCTAAAATATATGTAAAAGAAAACGTGACTCTAATATGTAGTCCTAAAGGCTATTTATATATGTAAAGAAATAAATATGATAGCTTCAAAGTCTTATTTAGGATTATTCTCAAAATTAATTAGGACTTGTAGCTACATTGGTCTCTAGGTTTTGTTCGTAAAGTCCAAACCGATTTAAGGTCAAGAGGAAGCATATTTTGGACTTGCACTCTTCATGAAGGTTGTAGGCCTAATATCTTCTTTTGATAAGATCTTTAATCTTATTAATCCAATGTGTATATCTCCATTTATAATCCAAACACTAACTAGTATTCTAAATTTTCACGAGATCCGAATTTCTACCCCGACTTTGCAATCGATTTTAACGACCCAAAATAAAATGTATTTATACATTTAAACCTAATTTAAAAAATCTTAAATGTATAATTTAAATATCACGAAGGTGTCTTTTTCATTATGAAGCTTTAAGGATGTAAAATTCTCTTTTTCCTCGAAAGATCAATCTGCTGGTAGTGATATTTCACCCACATTAACACACTTTTGCTCTTTTATCTCAAATCTTCTCCTAAGCCACAAAATAAACTTAATCCAAACATTTAGCCTAAAAACACATCCAAATGAATAAATATAAAAAAATGAATATAATTTTCACCACATTTAATTTTTACACGTCCTCATACAAAACACTAAACTAAACTAAGACTCAATATTAACACTTTAATGATATCAAGATTGCAAATTCACAAGCAAGAAAACAACCAAAAGTCTCAAGAATCATAACACATCACGAATTAACATTCTTGACAAATCAAAAATTAATCGAGTATAATAATTTTCTTTCATAAGAGAATAAATTAAATTGGTAGATTATCACAAGATAACCTTTCCAACTTGAAGTGTTTGGGGTAAATATGTTTTTGCTCAAAGTCATTCCATAAAAATATACAACCATAAGTTTGTTTTTCATCTAATCTCACCTACTTAGATCACATGCATAACACAAATTAAAAAGAATTTTCATAAGATTGTAATAGGCTAAGGATAGGTAAGGAATTTACATGGATATAAAAGTATAAAACCAAAAGATTAAAAGAGCATTTGAACATAAACTTGAGTAAATAAAACTATTAAGACCTAAAACCTATCATCCCAAATTTCAAACACTTATCAACTTCTCTTCTTCTTCTTCTTCTTCTTTTTCCCCTTTTTTCTCCCTTTTTTTTATTCCTTTCAAAGCACATAAACGATTAACTTTCTTTGATAGAACATGGACAACCCGACAAATTCTTTTCTTTTTTCTCTTTTCTTCTTTTCTCTTTTATTTTTTTTAGAACTTGTGTCATGTTTTCCATCAAACTTGTTCTCATGAAGTTCATTTCATAATCAAAAAAGGAATCAATCTCCCTTTTTTTTTTCCTTTTTATCCTTTTTTCCCCCTTTTCGAGCACATAGACAATGAACTTTATTTGTTAGAACATGGACGAGCATGACAAATTCTTTTCTTTTTCTTTTTTTCTTTTTCTTCCTTTCTCCCTCTTTATTTAGAACTCGTGTCATGTTTTCCATCAACATTTTTCTCATGAAGTTCAAGTCATAACAAAAAAAGGAATCAATCTTCCTTTTACTTTTTTCAACCTTTATCTTCTTCAAAAGCAAATCAACCAAAACAAACTAGGCTTATTTTTTCGAATCACATTCCCCCACACTTTTTAAGAAATCATGCCATTAATAATTTAAATGTTCTACTAATTCCCAAGGTTAGGTAAAGATATTTGTTTTTCAATCAAAAAAGGCTTGTAATGGATTACATATACAACAAAAAGGGTTGATTAGGCTCGGAGGGGCTTATCAATAATAAATTATAGGGTAGGCTATTTAAGCTAAAATGCTTTATTCAAAAGACAACCTTAATCATATTTATGCTTGCAAGTGTTAATATAATCTCAAAAAGAATCAAAGCAAGTTCTAGAGTAGCAAATCAATAAAAGAATATCTCATTACAAAAAAAAAAAAAATAGAGATTGATATTGATGTTCAATCTTTAAGCTCAAAATCTCACATGATAAATGTCTACCAAATTTAATTCATCACCATTTCAAAATCAATTACTATACTAATAAATTTCAAATCATAAATCAATAAATTCAATCATGTTATGCAAATTTCAAACTCAATTAATTTATGCTCATTACTTACATAAATCTTGACATATTAAAAATTCTCTACCCCACACACACAAATAATTTTTTTTTTTAAATGTGAATTTAACTATCCAAAATCGAAATAAAAATTAAAAAAAATAAAGAAAATGAATCCAAAATAAATAAATAAAAAATCAAATCCTAAATCCTCCCTCCGCACTTAAATTTTATATTGTC